TATCTGGAGAAAAATTTTCTAAAACTCTTGAGAGTCTTTTCTAAAGAAAATAAGACTCTGCTAGCTCTATCTGGAGATACGTTACTTATATTTTGAGAGCTTTTTCTATGAAAATAAGACTTTCATAGACTTTCAGAGCTTTTTCGTTAAAAAACTGTATCAGTTTCTGATTACTTTTTATATACAAAATTTAATTACATTCTGGGATCTTTATCTATGAAAATAGGCTCAAACTCTAAAAGCTTTTTTATAGAAAAATTGCTCCAAGAATTTCTTATAGAAAATTTACTCAGACTTTGTGTCAGCTATTTCTATAAAAAATTTGCTCAGTTTCTTAAGACTTTATATAAAGAATTTCCAAAGAAAATTTGCCCAGACATTGGCAGTCTTTTCTTTAAAAAATGGGCTTAGTATCTGAAAGCTTTATGTAAAAAAATGTCTTCAAACTCAAAAGCTTTTTCTAAAGGAAATTTGCTCAAATTCTTTGGAGTCTAGGCTCTATCTGTAGAAATTTTCTTAAACTCTGTGAGCCTCTTCCACAGAAAATAAGCTTAAACTCTGCTAGCTCTATCTGGAGACAAGTTACTTATAATTTTGAGAGCTTTTTCTATGAAAATAAACCCAAACTCTCACAGCTTTTTCTTTAAAAAATTGTCTCAGTTTCTGAGAATTTTTTATATTAAAAATTTTATTACATTCTGAGATCTTTTTCTATGAAAATAGGCTCAGACTCTAAAAGCTTTTTTATACAAAAATTTCCCCGAGAATGTGATCTTTTTCTATAGAAAATTTAAAAAATTTGCTCAATGTCTGAAGACATTGAAAAAATAGTCTGAAATCTTTTTCTGCAGCAAAAGTTTTTTCTTTTGTCTCAGACTTTAATAGTCTTTTCTAAAGAAAATCTGATAGATTTAGATTTTGGCAACTTTTTCTATAGAAAATTTGAACAGACTCTTAAAATGAATCTAGAGAAAATTATCACATTCTATGAGATACGGGATTCCTGATGCTTTTCTACACAAAATTTGATTGGCTTAGACTTTGGGACACTGTTGACTAGTCTAAGGACGAATCTATTGACTAGCCCATGGACTATATTGACTAGACTTTGGACTACTCTTTTGACTATTCTACTACTAGTCTATGGTCTACTCTATTGACTAGTCTATGACCTAGTCTGTTCTTAGTCTAGTGGCTTATTCTATTTTATTGACCTGCTTATGGACTAGATTATTGATTACTAGGACTAGACTATCGTCAAGTTTATTGGCTAATTTAATGCCTAAACTACTGTCTACACTATGGACTAGTCTATTGATTAGTAATAAGGGGAAAGTTGTTAAGTCTCTAAGAGCTTTTTCAAAAGAATATTTGATCACATTATAGAAACTTTTTCCTGGAATTTTACACAAACTTTGAGAGCATTTTATGCAGAAAATTACCACAGAGTTATTAAAAGCTTTTTCTAGAGTTTATTCTCTTCAAACTATGATAGTTTAATCTCTTGCTCATACTACGTAACATCGCTAATAACAGGGTGTTGCAAATGAATATTTCCAGTAATACCTCTAAATACCATACAATCCGGGATGGTAACTGTTGTTAAATTTGAAAAAAGGTGTGTCTGAAATTTAAAAATTTTTAGATATCTTTTACTTTACTGTCCTCTAATTTACATGTGAAAACTCATTATTTTAATTATGCATAAAATTTCTTTAATATAACTTGTTGAAGGGAAGATAAGGGTGTAGTCTCTTAATTCCCAGACTAGCCTATAGTTTTTTTTTTAATTGTTTTATTACCCTAAACAACTTTTAGCACTTAATTTAATGTAAACTTAAAATCTGCTATTAAACATTTTCTTAATGTTATGGCTCGAAGGACCACACCTGAATTTTGTGTTAAATGTTTTCTAGAGCAATGTTTGTTTAAACATCATTAATCATATTTCTATGATTTTTTTTTTTTACAATTACAAGATTTTTAATCTAGAAATATATAATTTTGAAATCATAATTATGACATATTAAACTACTAATGGTCATACAAAAAAAAAGATTTTATTGTGTAGTTTTATCATTGTTTTACTATTTTCCCATTTCTATTATAAAAAAATTTTGTTTGGAGTGTTTTTTTATGATTAGTGGAATTTTTCATAAAATTTTCTTTTTAATTACAAAGCGCAACGAATTTCTTTTGTTCAAATTATTGTTCGCTCAAATACAACAAACCTATTTCTATACAGTTTTATTCATTCACAAAAATATATATAAAAAAAATCATATTTTATTTTTCTTTTTATTGTTTACAACAGAAATATTACACACACACACCATAGTAGTGTTGGCATTTTGATTTGTAACACTAAATTATTTGAATTTAACGGAAATGATAAAATCGTCATCGCCGCTATCATCATCATCATCAACATCATCAATTGTTTTAAATAAAAGAGAAATTGCGAAAAAAAACTAAACCCTCCAAATCTCAAATGATAGAAAATGCAAATGTTTAGGGATTTAATTAAAATAATTTTTTTGCTTGATTTTCTTTTTTTTTTCATTTAAATCAAGTGTTTTTTTTTATTACAAATTCTTGCAATTTTTTCCCATCTATAATAGTTTGAACTTTTAATAATTTTTCTTAATTTTATGCCAATTTATAAGAAAATTGTTTCTTTAATTGATAACTGTTTAGTTTGCGAAAAAAAATTCTTATTGAAATAATTAAATAAATTAGTTTTGCTCAACAGAATTTCGTTCTAATAGAAAACTAATCATATAATGAAATGAGTCAAAGAGAAGAATTTCAATTTTTTAATTAAATTATAAGAAAGAAGGGAAATGATGGTAAAACCGTTTAAGGAAATATATAATTATAACTAAATATAAGGTATGACAGTTCGTTTAAAAATAGTTTCTTAATTGGAAACTAAATTACAACTTTTAGTTGAACTTAGGGCCGAAACTATATATATTAATCAAAAAATCTCCGCTGTTGTTGATATTTCCGTATATTACTTCTTTCTTTGACTTATTCCCATAGACCCTGATTTCCGGTTATTGCAATTCCTCAAACCAACCCAAAAACATCGATTCCTAAAAGTGTAATTAATTGGCTAATTACAATTACTTGTAATTTCAGGTAAATATAATTCTTCAATTACAATTACAAGTAATTATAACTGATTATTGCTCAATTACACATTACAAATTTACAAAACTTTAATTCCAATTACAAGAAATTGTAATTATAAGTAATTCAGGCCAATTATGAATAATTATTCTTCAAGAGTTTGTTCTTTTTTTCATGCTTTGGGTCTAGGAGACAGTACAAACTGCCTGGGAGTTTATTATTCTGTATAGGCCTGATTGTAATTTGTAAAGCTTCAATTACATTTGATGTAATTGAAATCATTACACCCCAATCCCGCGTATAACGAGAATTTTAGAGAGACCATTACACGTCTAAAACAATCTTCTTCCTCGATTTATAAGTTCTCACATTCTCATATCATATTCTTTAAACTCGTTAACAAGGACTCCAGGGAAATTATGTGAAATTTTAAATGTCCTGGGTCGTCATTGTGAGATTATTCCGGAATATTTCAATGGGCTTCCAGTTTTAATTCATCTATGATATTAAAAAACTCTGGTCCATGTTGGCGTATTTTCTATTAATATGTTAAGACCTTCGGGCGATTACTTCGCGCTCTCTTATTCCAAATTATGCTTGAATACGTGGTTATTAACATAGATCTTTGAATTTATCTCCGGA